TGCTCAAAGAATGGAGGCAGTCGCTCGACTGTGGTCTCCCGACAGTGGTCGCTCGACTAAATGAGGTGGTGGTTAGCCAGTCTCTGCTACCATCAAATGTCCTCTAGATCTGCGCGAGCACTTTTTCATCATACACAAATGTCTTCAAGTCTTGTTGGAATTGAAACTACAAAATAAATGAGAGACTGTAAATATGCCAAAAATATAAAAATAATGCAATAATTATACTCCCTTCATTTCAACGTCGTTTTGTGCCTTCTTTATTGAAGTATTCGGTCGTTTATTCTGGCTTGATTGACGACCTTGTTGACTTCATATGCTACTTAGTCAATGCTAGCAAAAAAGTGTTAATGATTCATTCAAACAATAGATAAAGCTCTGGATCAATTTTTACCTTTGTTATTTTCGTATCTTACTCTCACCGTGCTATTTGATTATCACAGTTGGATATTTTGGGTTGGCTGACGACTCAAGTCTTCGGAAAAACCATTGGTCATTTTTTATGTGTTGTAGTTCGTCAACCTCTTAGCTCAAGTTTTACGAAGCATGCGTCTCGTTTGTTTGGTTGATTCATCACCTCGGTCGGGCCTCACCTTTCGCTAGGGCTTAGGAAGATCTAGTCGTTGCCTTCACGGGGGTAACCAACGAAACTCGTTGCTGGAATGGTTTGTCTTACTCTTCGTGGAGGTTGTCGCTACTGAGCAAAAAACCATCTCCAGAGTTTTACATGTTTTGAGTTTAGAGACCTGTCTTTTTATGCTTAGCTTTGACGGTCGGTCATTTGCTCACCTCGGAGGGGAGTTTTTTATCCGCTTCGTCAAATTTTAGTTCTCCGAGCATCGCATGTGAATTCTTCGAGCGCCCTCAGTCTCAATTGGACCTAGGAAAACATAATTAGAAGAGTTGACATATATTTCAGAGAAAAACCTTTTTTGGATATTTCGATCGATGAAAAATTGCACTATAGCCTTTATGGTGGGTAGGCCGAACGGAGGTCGGTCGGCCGGGTGGCAGCTAACTAGCCAGACGACAGTTGGGCGGTGTGACCTACACCCGACAGAGCACCCGACAGAGAAAGAATGACAACTTCTGCGTGCAACAGGAGATCAGGGCCTTTGCAGGGGAGGCGATCGACGATCAGTCTATATGTTGCCAATCGGTAGATGGTCGGTCTGCGGATAGTCGTCGACACATGCGACTGGTGCGTGTTTTATGAACAATAAAGAGAAAAAGTAGGTTGTCGGCCTTTAGAGGGAGTCGACTAGACATACGGCGGTCAGTCGTTATGTGGCCAATTAACGAGTGGCCGGTCGGCAGATACATATGATGCGTACTTCACAGCTTGAATCTGTATCGACTTATTTGGTACTTTTTGCTTTATTCCAATCCATTGGTGAGTTGGTTTTCTAGCAGGATGCAGAATCCACACCCACTTGTTGCTATCTTCGCACGACAGTGAGGGGAGCTCCAAGTCCGCGTGAATGATTGGGGGCCGGCTACGAAACGTCAATGCAGGGGAAATTTTCGTGCCACAAGGCCGGTTGGCAAAAGATAGCATTTCAGTTTGGCAAGCGGTGGAGTGGAGAAGCCAGCATAGAGAAAAAAAATTGCGGCTTGGGCTTTCAAGGTAAGTTTAGCGAGGTCGAAGGTGGAGATCTGCTCGCGAGAGGTGTGTTGGAGGCCTCTGGATGTCAAAGCAGAGAGCGTGATATCTTTGAAATAGCCCGTGATTAGGAATAGAAGAACTGAGTCGGTTATTGTGCAAGCCCCTTTGTGTACCAACAGATCCATCATAAAGGTGTACTAGGAGAATTTTCATTATAATCAGAAAAATGGTAACCTTTAAGAAAATAATAAGGATTCGTATAATTGTTTTTAAAGCTGGCATCTTATATTTACACATGAAGTGCTTATTGCAAGTAGTTACACTACGTTCATTGCAATTTATTAACTAAGATTATGTTTCTATTAGCACTAACAAGTACCAACACTTTACTCCAAGATTAACTGTGACTGCATGTCTACTAATGCTTCAATGGGCCAATGCCCTGTAAAATTTAATTTGGTATTTTGATGTACTGGCTCTGCATCTTTCCTAATAATTTTACTCCCTAGATATGTTGCACATTTAAACTGCGCAGATGACCAGCCTGCATCAATGGATTCAACAAAATTCTCAATTTTTTAAGTTCTGCAAACTTTGCCGAAGACATTGGAGGGGTTAAGCGGGAAAGTTGTTCATTTACCTGGCAAGGTCGTTGTCATTTACGGTGTTCAAATTTTAAGAATCCGTAAGGTCTTTTGCTTGGCTCTCAATCCCTTTTTTTTATTGAAGAGTGATAATTGTATCGTTGAAATCATAACTTCGGACAAAATAATCTTTTCCAACAACACAGCCACAGTGACACAAATTTTAAGCATCGCTGCCAATTTTTCATAGACACCAACATTGCAGTTTCAGGTAAGTAGCTTTGACCGAGAACAGTAGTCAAACTGCAGCCCAAATTCTTACATATTTTAATAATTTCATTGGCTACAAAATGTTTTGGCTGCAATTCCATGCATCCATATGATCAACCACTCTAGTTAAAAAAAATCAGGGATAAGTTCAATATATGTTGAAATTAATTAAGTGTCCTCGACAACATTTTCCAGACAGAAAAAATATAGACCTTGCTAACATTGTTTATTTGGCCCATCTCTTCCATTCGGTCTTAATCAACTTTACAAGGGTATAAAGCAATAGTCTCAGCTAACAGTAATATAATCCTCAAACCGCAATGAAAGATAAAAGTATATCTGATTATTAAACTAGGTGGTTGGTTCAACCTGACAAAATTATGCCCATGGAAATATTAACTATTGGTCCATATCACAAAAAGGATTTCAATGCTACCCAAAAGCGTTCAATGGTTAAATATCAGTGCTCCAAAAAATTGCCAGCAGTACAAAAAAAGAGCCCAAAAAAGGCTGTAAGATGTTAATGAGGAAACACTCCCACCTGCAAGTCATAAAATGGGTTCATTACAGTTTAATTAGAAGATTGAGAGTGAAAACAGGTACAAATTTCTTACCTTAGCACAGATCAAATTCTAATCAGCTGCTGCAATTTCTTAGCTTAGCACAGATCAAATTCTAATCAGCTTCTGCAGCACTACCATCTCTGTTCACAAGCTGCTAGCATGATTGGTCAATAAAGTAGCCAATTGTACATGAGAATAGCTTAGATGCCATAAAAGATTGCAGAGTTTACAAATCGTATGAAAAAGAACAATAAAAGGTAATAAAACTTTTGGTGAAATTAGAATTGAAGTTCTCTTAACTTGGGTGGGTTCTTGGCTTAGTGGTCAAACCTTAGTTGAGGCTTGGTGGTTAAAAACCAACCATAATACTTTTATCCTTTTGTTTACTTGTACTGTAGGTCATAATTGTATCTCTCTCCTACACTCAAGCTCCAATCATCTCCCAAAGCTCTTCTCAACTTCCCTTCAAGTTCTCAATTTTTCCCATGATAAACCCTAATTTCAACTCCTTCCGACAGCATCCATGTATCTCTCCTTACATCTTGGCCTCACCCCAAGCAAAGCTAAACCTAGCCCTCACCCTTATCCTAAACGAAAAAATAATGATAGTCAAGCATACCCTTTTGTCACATCAAATAATCCCTCCACATCAAAACCAACAAGTTAAAGTCGTCCCACTTCAATATCCCACTACACATCTCCACCAATTTAGGTATCAAAGTTAAAATATGGAGAAATTGAAGAGTGCACCAAAAGCAACAACAATAAAGCTTCTAAAAATTGTCAACAACAAGTGGCCAATTCAATTTCTCCCTGGGTAACCTCTATAAACCCTAGCTGATAGCATGTTATTTGGAAAGCTTATGATAAAATTTATGACGACACTTAATGAGCACCACATCGAACGCAAGCCTAATCATAAGCTGGTCAATGAATATGGGGTGTGTTACACATCAATAAATTATTTTTGCAAACCCATGAATGTGTTTTAGATCATAATAGCTTGAACTATATTAACTTAGGACTTGCATTTGATTTACTATTTTATGCATGTTTATCATATTGCTAATAAAAATGACTTGCTAACAATTGTTGATTTTTCCCCCGATACAACTTATATTTCATTTATTTTCATCAAGCATTATTATTGTAAGACAAACTCACTACAATTACGCTTAAACCAATGCATTTAGTTACATGTTTAACTGTAACTAAAAATAAAAATTAGCATATTTTATTGTGTAACAGGCCACACATTAGGAGGGCACCAATTTATAAAAAAATACAAAAAACCTGAAAATCACAATAGGAGGGCTCAAGAATATAATGATCCCTCCAAGAAAGTTGAAAACAGGAAACAACCACCTTGAAGTCATTCATAACCAAAATAAATTTATGAATTGGAAGATCCAAATGAACTAGTTCTTAAAATGGTATAAAATAGATGATTGCTGAAAAATCGCTTTAGCTAAAATGAAGTTGATAGGCCAAGCCAAAAATTCATGAAATATTATTTTGACAAAAGTATTAAAACTTGGTAAGATTAACCTCACTACATTGGAAATGAAAGAGATGAAAAGGTCTAAATATTGTTCAAGAAGCCATGAAAAAAACTACAGAAACAATTATTGGCAAGGAAAGAAAATCAATAGGTTATTTAATGCATGACTATTTTTAAGTGGGACTTAAATTTATACCACCCAATCTTCATTATTTACATCACTAACACATAAATTAATAGTTTCTTTAATACCACCCAAAACTCTTCTAAACCCTTAGAAATACAACTCCATTAATCTTTATGTCCCTTCGCCTCACTTAGGATGTGTTTGGGTGGCTGCTATTTTTTGAAGAACCAGTGTGCGTTGCAGTCAAAAAGTTGTTGGAAAAGCAATCAGTCTCTTTGGATAATAGGTTGTATTGCAGCTATTTTTGATAAAAAAGACAGTTATGTTGTTATAAATGTAAATTAATTGAATAACTGCAGTTTTTAAAATAATTATAACAGAATAACAAATACAGTTTCAACAATATAGAAAATACGTTAGAAGTTCAATTTCTCCAATACATCAATATTGAGTCATCACTTTACACGTAATATCATAATAGTAAAAAGTACAAATACAACCATTAATGCAATAATGAAATTCATCTTCATGTCTAGACGATCAAGTCTTTAATATGATTTTTTTTCCACATCTCTCTTAACTCGGTTGCTATTCGTAGCAAACTCTATATCATTAGGCCATAAAACATATGCAATCTTCACGCATCATATTTTTAAAATAACAATAAAATATTCACTCATAGCTATCTTCTCTTCTTAATGTGTATAAAGACAGACGATCAAGTCTTTAATATGATTTTTTTCCACATCTCTCTTAGCTCGGTTGCTATTCGTATCATATTTTTAAAATAACAATAAAATATTCCCTCATAGCTATCTTCTCTTCTTAATGTGTATAAAGAACACTGCATTCCGGAATGATAATATATATCGTTTGAAGTACTTGATCACCTTCAACTTAATTTTTCCTGATATTATAATACATTATGCTTTTAATTTACAAGATAGACAACATATGAAATGAAACAAAAAGAATATTAGATTTAAAAATCAAAAGAAAAAACACAAAAAATATGAATCTCTAAAGTTAAAACTTTGAAAATTAAAATATCAAAATATGAAAGAGAAAATAGAGATCAACAAATCTTCAATACATCTGATATAGTAAACATCAAACATAAAACACTATAAAATACACTACAAAATATTAATTAAATATATTCAATGAGTTCACTTAAATATTTGTAATCTTTTCTCATAGCTAGATCATCTCCCGAACACCTTCCTCATCTGATGTGTTGAAGTCATTCACACCGAAGTCTTCCTCAAGCACTTCCTCAAGCACCCGAAATTCGAATATTTCTACAGATATGCATATTGGACATTCATCTAAGACCTTGAAATCAACATCGTTCTGAGATAAATTTCTCCGTATAAAATTATGTAAAGTTGTTGTTGCAATAATTATCTTGCTATAGGAGTTAATCCAAACCACACTCAAAACGGAAATATTATTGTCGAAATTCAAGTCTGTTACAATGGTGACTCCTCAAAATAAAAAATACACAATAACAAACATGAAAAGACACCTAGGGGCAGCGTCGAGGGGGATGGGTAACGACTAGCTCGCAGAAGGTATGCTAGTAGGTGGTAGGTTGCATGTTGTCTAGTGGGGTGGTTGTAGCAGGGAAGGGCTGGAGTGGCTTGTGATAGCAAGTTAGAGGGGAGGGGAAAGACAAGGCGGCAGGTTGAGAAGATGAGGATAACGAAACAAAAAGAAAGGTGTTGGGGATGAGACGGCTCGGAGCATGAAAAGTTGGTGCGTCGGTGAGGTTCGCAGCAGACAAGAGAGGAGAAGTCGGAAGGATACCTATCCAAGCGAAAACAAGTTACAGCCGGAGCACCCCTCAAACCTTTTTCGATAATCACCAACTCTGATGAGTTAGAGCTAGAGTACCTTCTCGCCTTCGGATACAACCCTAGATTCAGAAAACAATTGTCGAGGGCTAGCTTGGACAGAAATTCAACAAAAACTAAAGCCTAAAACAATAAGCAATATACTTAGAAATAGGTAGGAGAAGAGAAAAAAAATGGGCATAATTACATCCCAATAGCTAGCTGGTCGGTCCAGCCTCCATGCTACACCAACACCATATTAAACTGACTGATTTAGTGTGAAATCCCACTGCCAATCTCCCAGGGTTGGGGAGCTTCGACCTTATTTGTCGAAGCTTTTGTCTTCTCATTGTCGGTGATGGCGCTGTTATAACCTCCTGAGTCTGAAGGTTCCTTAATTACAGTCCGAAAAGCACCTGGATCCCACTGACGACTGTACCGTCCCCCAAGGCACCTCCGTATGCGAGCAAACACATATATCGGTCCAATCTTCTGGGAGCTCACTATCTATAGTCCGAAAAGCACCTGGATCCCACTAACGACTGTACCGTCCCCCAAGGCACCTCCGCATGCGAGCAAGCACATATATCGGTCCAATCTTCTGGGAGCTCACTATTGAACTGTCTTGTGCATGCGTGTCACATATATATTGTTGAATCCTCCCAAAATAGCCTAAAGTTGGCTCAACCTGATCTGAAGCGAACTTAATATGAGCCTCCCTAAATGGTGGTGGCCATAGTGGTAGGGTATCGATCTTGATATCCTGAAATGTTCTCTGTTGTGATTGTCTCATGTTTGGATTTGGAATTTTAGTCATATCATCCTCTGTCGTCACCAAAACTAGTCCCACCGATACTGCTATGCTGATAATGGCTTCTGCGATCTTGGGCTTAGCCGAAGGAATAAGGTTGATACACTTTCCCCTCCTTAGTGAAGAAGGTGTTTCTTAATCCGTCGTGTTGAGTCCTACAATCAAATTGTCACGATCTCTCTAACAAAACATGACAAATATCCATGGGGACCACATCTCATCACACATGATTCTGCAATTGGTTTCCAATCAAGAACTTCATTAGGCACCTCTAGTCAATGTTGGCCCTGTTCTTCTTCGACCGCATCAGGGAATACCACTTGGAATGCCTCCAAGTCATGAGACCCAATTTCTCTATCAATTGTGTGGATGCACGTTCTTGTTGCTCACTCCATCGATGATGAGACTGTACATCTTCCTTTTCACAGTGCAATGAGTGTAGAATATGTTGTGGTCAAGCAACTGCGGATCTCTGGTATCCTTAGTCTGTAGAACCCGTCAAATCACGAGCATCTTACCTTCATTCAGTTGGAGATGATACAACTCACCATGTTCTTCAGCTATCTCATTGTAGCTAACCTCCTCCACAATGCCCTGCACAATAAAAAACAACTCGATTTGTTGGGCAGTTGGAGGTGATGGGCCCATATCCGTGGCATCTGAAGCATTTTCTAGCGGGACTATAGTAGGCATGCTACTCTTCTCAGGATTCTTCTAACTGGGGGTGGCTATGTCCTTCTTTGAACCAGTTTGATCAACTTCCGAAAGCGTGCTCCTACTGATGACTCCCACCGTGGGTGGTTATCTAACTGGTGGTGATTGTTTGCTCTATTTCTGCAGTTTTTCCAATTTCAACACTGAGGTATGGATATCTCCAAGTGACCAGTAGGACTGCAGTTATACCACGTTACCAATAACGGCATCAAGCCTCCCAGATAATGAGCTATGATGTGTTCCTATGACTCGACCAAATCACACTGCATCTGCAACTGATCAAACTGCATCATGAACTACTCCATTGAGATGTCTCTCTGCTACAGGTGGTGGAGTTTCAGAAACATATCCGATAGTGAGGAGTTAGGTATTTTCTCTGCATCGCCTTCTGCTTCTCGAACTTGGCAATCTTGTCATTGCCTTCTCCATTCCTTTGCCTCCACTAGTTTTCCCACCACAAAAAAGGTGTTATGTAGCTGCTAGTTTTACATGTTTATCCTCTTGCACATCCTTATACTTGAAGATTAGCTCGATAGATTGCAACCAATCGAGAAAGTCATATGGATCCATACTTCTATCGAACTCTGGTAGATCCACTTTAATGTCGACGTGTCCTACATAAGTGGCCTCCTCCTCGGACATCTTTAATAGTGAATTCCAAAGCATCGAGCATGTATTACTCATCACTGATGTCTTCTCTCCATTGCATCGACCTCCTCTCCTTTGACTCTCTAAATCCCAGTTGAGGGTAATCTCCCCCTATTCATGCATCTCTATCAACCTCTACTGAAGTCGACAAATCTCCCTATGTATAAATCCGAGTAGGGTCTGACATATGTCTCCTTGGTGGCATTGTTAGGGTTTAGTATTTGTGGTAGTGAAAATGATATTTGGTGTTAGGAATAATAATTTTAGGTTATGACGGATGCTACGAAATCCTAATATAAGTCAGAGGAACTTTGGCATCAAGATGGACCTCCCAGAGTTCGAGAGAAGCATGAACCCCGATGAGTTTATCAACTGGTTGCAAATAGTCAAACCAATATTCGAGCATAAAGATGTACAAGAGGACAAACGAGTCAGACTAGCTGCAAAAAGCATGAACCCCGATAAGTTTATCAACTAGTTGCAAACAGTCAAACTAATATTCAAGCATAAAAATGTACAAGAGGACAAACGAGTCAGACTAGCTGCAATTAAACTAAAGAAGAATGTCGTCTTATGGTGGGAGAATCTACAAAGGCGGAGGAGAAGGGAAGGAAGTAAAAAGATAACTAAGCGGAAGAAAATAAAGGCAATGAAAAAAAAAAATACACTCCACCGCACTATCGCCAGAACATGTTCTTAAAACTCCACAACTGGCAACAATGAGATCTATCAATTGAGTTCACAGCCCAATTCGACAACCTGCAACTAAAGTGAGAGCTGCCAGAGACAAAAGAACATACGATCGTCAGATATCTCGGAGGTCTAAAACCTGTCATTAGCAATGCGGTACAACTACAACCATACTGGACGGTAGGGAATGTCCAGACACTAGCCCTGATAGTAGAGAGACAACAAAAACAAAGCAGACAACAGTCTTCGTTCAGACCACCACCTTTAACTAAGCCTGAGGAAATAACAAAATTGGACAATGGACTAATAGGGCTGATCAAAGCCGGAAGACACCATAGAAAGGTAGTTCCTCCAATACAGTGCCAGCCAAGAAGTGTTTCTGGTGCCACGACTACGGTCACATAGCCTCCAACTGCCCAACAAGTCGAGTTGTCACACTCACAGATCAAGGCATTGTTGAGAAAGTCGACGAGGAATCAGAGGAGAGTCCAGAAGAAGAGTTTTAGCTCCACGGAGATTAAGGAGGACTAGTCGTGCAACGAATACTACAATCCAATCCAAGAGTCCAGAAGAAGAGCTTTAGCTCCACGGAGATTAAGGAGAAGGACTAGTCGTGCAACGAATACTACAATCCAATCCCGAGCGGGACCAATCTTGGCTAAGACATTACATTTTCGCACAAGTGCACTGTCAAGGGAAAGGCCTGCAGCCAAATCATCGATAGTGGGAGTTGTGAGATCGTGGTATCCACACTCATGATAAAAAAATTAAGATTGGACACACATAAGCATCCCCAATCATATTCTCTTACCTGACTGAAGAACAACAATGAGATATGTGTGGACCAATGTTGAATAGTTGATTTCTTCATCGGAGATGAGCTACACGAACAGATATGGTGTGACATGGTTCCTATGGACGCCTGTCATATTCTGTTAGGTAGGCGTTGGCAGTTTGATCGCAAAACTCAACACGATGGTTCAAAAATACTTATTCTTTCAAGAAGGATGAGAAACATATAGTTTTACTACATGCTAAGGATGCCAAATGCGGGGACACCGAGACAGCTGTAGTTCCTCATACCACTTTCCTGCAGTCGGTAAGAATTGCCCATGCAAAACTTGCATTAGTCCACCTAGAAGGAAGCAAGGAAGAAAGACAGGTATCAGCACTACTGCAACCATTGATACAAAACTTTCAGGATGTTATGACCGATAACTTACCAAAGGGACTACCACCACTAAGTGACATTCAGTTGCCATTAACCTTATATAAGGATTCGCATTGCTAAACTGACCAGCCTAAAGATTAAGACCCGCGGAGTATGAAGAACTACAACGACAAGTGCGAGACCTTATTGAAAGGGCGCTAGTCAGAGAAAGCATTAGTCCGTGTGTCGTCCCGACCCTAATGGTGCCCAAAAAGGATGGATCGTAGAGAATGTGCATCGATAGTCGGGCCATCAATGAGATTACCATCAAGTACCGATTTGTCATAACTCACTATTTTCTCCAAGGCAGACTTGTGCAATGGCTATCACCAGATACGGATGAGGCCGAGAGACGAGTAGAAGACAACCTTCAAGACCCGGGATGGATTTTATGAGTGGATCGTTATGTGTATTCCAACCTCACATTGGAAAGTTTGTCATTACCTTTTTGGACGACATTCTAGTATACAACCGGTCGGAGGAAAATCACTTGCATCACCTGAAGGCGGTATTTGAGGTACTGTGAGCTGAACAATTATATGTCCATCTGAAAAAATGTCAATTCATGACAAGCCAGGTATGTTTTCTGGGTTACATCGTGTCTAGTGCACGCATTTGGATGGATCCCATAAAGATAGAGGCCATTATCACCTGGTTTATACCATAATCATTCACAAAGCTGAGGCAATTCTTGGGGCCAGCATCCTTCTATCAAAGATTTATCAGAAACTTCAGCACTATCATGTCTCCTCTGACTGAACTTCAAAAAGGAAAGGAGTTTACTTGGACAGCAGTAGCCCATGACAACTTTAACACGCTGAAAGAAAAGGTAACTCGGGCACCCGTGCTAGCTCTACAAGACTTCAACCAACTTTTCAAGGTAGAATGTGATGCCTCCGGTGTGGGGATCAGAGCAATACTAAGCCAAGGAGGGCGCCCCATCACTTTTTCAGTGAGAAAGTGAATGAGCCCAAGAGGAAATACTCAACTTACAACAAAGAATTTTACGTCATCGTAAGAGCTCTGAAACACT